AAAAAGTGCATTTAATCATTCATGCATTCCCTTTAAATCAAACCCAGGAAACCATACTTACAGTTGTTTAGCTGTACTTACGAGGGGCAAATCATGCAACTAGGTACGATTTTATGTGTTATGCATATAAATCATGCTTTTATTTAAGTCTAGTGTTTGCACAGGTTTGTGTGAGTGTTGGTTTAGCGGTCAGAGGTCAAGTTAGAAGACAGAAAATATCATTAACCTGATAGAAAAACAGTGGAAGTCTATGAGATGAGCTCACTGATAGTCAAACAAATGTGTTTTTCTTGAAAAGGTGATTCTTTTGATAATCTATGAATTCACTGAACTATTAAAAACAAACACTTTGAGCGCTCAAAACCTCCTCTTTAGTCTCAAACAGCATTTATTAAGACTAAACTGCAGAAATGACTTGTTTTGAGCTTATTATTTCTGAAGATAAACAGCGGATGTCATTAAGTCTGTAGAAACACACACAAACGAAGGTGGAGTTTGCTCTGTTCACACGAACTTCCTGCTGAGAAACCATGGGAGAAAACAATGGAACACATCTAAACACACACACACACACTCACAATCACACTCTCTCTCACACACACAAACACTGACTCTTAAAAGGTTTCAGAGAACAATTCTATAAATCATGTATAAATAACGGTTGTGTGTTAACGTTTTGAGAAGATGATCAAACACCAAATAACTCTGTTAGTGCTACAGGAAGACTGCTTCTTCAGAATCCCGAGAGAACCTTCCCAAAGTGCCGAGAAGGTTCATTTTCAGCTGCTAAACATTTATCCATACATGTTGCATATTTGATAGACGCTCATATAAACAAGAAGAAAAAGCACTCGGTGAATGAAGCCGTTCTGTCTCTGATGTCTGAGACGTCTGTCCTGCAGGTGAATGACGTGCACAGGTAAGCCCATTAAAGAGCGCGATGATTGACAGCTGTCACTCACAGAGGATTATATCTGCAGGATCTCAGCTCAGCTCAAGAACACAGGAAACACAATTCATTCATAAATCAAAAACAGGAGACAGATGAAACAATAGAGGCGGACAAACCATTACAGTACAGCAGGGGAACAGAGAGAGAGTTCAACGCTCCGTTATCATCAACAAAACCTACAAAACTATACACGTCTGCATTCTGAATGTGTGTAGATATTGATGATGAGGATGAAGATGAAGAACACACTGACCTGAGGCGAGCAGCAGCAGCAGCAGATGAGCCCGTTCCACACACATGAGTCCGATCTCTCACACACACTCTCTCTCTCACTCTCACACACACACACACACGCACGCGCTCCCGTGTCTCAGGAAACACACCCCTGGCGCTGTGTGTTCACTCACACGTGTGCATTGCATTAACATCAGATAAAAGTGACAAAAAACACTTTAGCATTTTTTTCAACAATGCATGTCACGTGCGTTGATATTCTGCATTCACATGTTCCTGTGTAAAAACTCTTTTACTGCACTACACATGTTGAGGCATTAATGCCTTTCCAAAAATCCCTCTCTAGCGTTATGAGAACGTTAGTTTATGATTCTGATCCAGAATAATAACGTGCAGTGCTTATGACAGCGTTGCAGGAGACATGTCTGTAAACGAGTGACTTATTTGGACTTTTCTGACTTGTTTCTAAACTGCTGAAGTTTCAGAGGAAAGTGTCTAAACTGTCCTTCAACACACGGTGGCGCTGCAGACCCACATTCGCATCCCAGGACATAAAGGTGCAGTAAAATACACGTTATTCAGTACACGTCCATTCTGTACTTAAAGTGCTTGATTTTCACGAACTACTTTTGTACTTAATATACCAGAACTGATTCTTTAGTACTTCTAGAGATAAGATCATCTAAGGGTACTCGACTCTATTTCGGGACACCATGAATATGAACTAAAATGTGCTTTTAACACATTGTCTCTGTAAAAAAGTTTTCACTTGAAACCATCTTTCACACACTTCTAAATATACTCATCATGCATAGAAAATACACTTATTAATTATTCAAAATATAAGAGCAATATAGAATGAATATATATACAAAATGCGTTTATAATGCATTGCCCACATATCTTTATAGATTAAATAATCAATTTCAAATGTATTGTAATTATGTTAACATTCCCTTTAGATGATATACTTAACTACATGTTTATGGCGTCTTTAAATAGTACAATCAAGTACACTATGTCATTGTAGCACTTTTTTCCACATTAAAAATATAGCACTTCAAGTACTTTATGCTGAAATACTGTTAAATTGTGAATTTTGTTACACATATGAAGGAATATGTGCTATCAGTGCGTTTATAAAGTAGTCTAAGCTCAGTAACCTATATGTGTCACGGTTAGTGTTATTAAACACACACGAAGATGAGGATGATGAAGATCATTTAATCTTCTTAAGCTAGTCTTTAATAAATCCACAGAAGGTAAAAAGGCCCGTAACAGACAGGAGCTTCAATACACAGACCACACCAGGATCATTAACAAGACACACCTGAACCTAATGAGCTCAAATCTGAAACCATGGCAGCTAGCTCCACAGAGCTGTTTACTATACTTTTGCAATTGCACTGAAGTAGAAATATACTTTTAATTAGTGTATTTATAGTGTATAACTTTTACAATTTAATTTAGCACAAAAATAAGAATGTACTACAAATGTATTTCCTGGTGTTTAAGTGTTTTTGTAGTGCATTTAAGTATACTTTATAGAGCGAGAGAGAGATACTGTGTTACTGTACTGGCCTAGATGTGTTGCTATAGAAGTACGCTTGACTGATTGCACAGACGCTATTGACATCACTGAATCATCAATGCACTGATTTATCTGGAAAATTAGTCCTCTTGCGTTATTGACAAGCTGTTCTGCTGTTTGATACTGTAAAGCTGCTTTGACTCGATCAGTATTGAATAAAGCGCTGTAGAAATAAAGATCAAGTGTCTGTATCTGAGTTTCTCGAATCTTCTTATTGACTTCTCTTTATTTATTCTTTTTAATGCTGTATCTGTCTAATGAATGGCATTATAAATGTAGTACTCAAATGCCTTTAGTGATCATAGTAGAAATCAAATTAAATTCTATTGTCTCACAGAAATATTCATACGTGTCCCTGGAGCACAAAACCAGCAGTGTTGGGGGAAACGCATTACAAGTAACGCGAGTTACGTAATCAGATTACTTTTTGCAACTAACGAGTAAAGTAATGCATTACTTTTTAATTTACAAGAGAATATCTGAGTTACTTTTTCAAATAAGTAACGCAAGTTACTTTTTTTCCCCAATTTATTGATTGACAGCTCTGGTGTCGCCATGGTGACAGAAATCAGAAGATGTTACTGTAATCTAAAATAAATATGAATATGCATTAATTCATCTCTCTCACAAAAAAAACACAGATTCAGTAAATTAATACAAAAAATGCAACTCGGAATATGATGCAAACCTGCAATAGTTAAATGTTAAACAACACAAATATCCTTTATGTATTTAATCCCGTTCTATTAAGCAATGTCTTTGCTTCTGGCCTTCGAGGATCCAGTTCAGCCGTACTAATAAGCACAAAGTGTTGAAATGTCTTCTTCTGCGTTCTACTGTACTTTCCCTTCAGCCTGAGGCGCATTCATTTCACTTCTGGTGTGCAAAGGCTTTTATATTTGCCAAAAAATATAACTTTTGTATTTTAAAAACAAACAAGCAAGCCCTGTCCAGATTTAAAAAGTAACGCAAAAGTAACGTAACGCATTACTTTCCATAAAAAGTAACTAAGTAACGGAATTAGTTACTTTTTTTATGGAGTAACGCAATATTGTAATACATTACTTTTATACTGTAGTTCTAAAATAAATATGAATATGCATTAATTCATCTCTCTCACAAAAAAAACACAGATTCAGTAAATTAATACAAAAAATGCAACTCGGAATATGATGCAAACCTGCAATAGTTAAATGTTAAACAACACAAATATCCTTTATGTATTTAATCCCGTTCTATTAAGCAATGTCTTTGCTTCTGGCCTTCGATGATCCAGTTCAGCCGTACTAATAAGCACAAAGTGTTGAAATGTCTTCTTCTGCATTCTACTGTACTTTCCCTGAGGCGCATTCATTTCACTTCTGGTGTGCAAAGGCTTTTATATTTGCCAAAAAATATAACTTTTGTATTTTAAAAACAAACAAGCAAGCCCTGTCCAGATTTAAAAAGTAACGCAAAAGTAACGTAACGCATTACTTTCCATAAAAAGTAACTAAGTAACGGAATTAGTTACTTTTTTTATGGAGTAACGCAATATTGTAATACATTACTTTTAACACTTTAACACTTTTAACAACACTGAAAACCAGTCATAAGAGAAAATTTTGTGAAATTGAGATTTATGCATCATCTGAAAGCTGAATAAATAAGTTTTGTTAGGATGGTAGGATAGGACAATATTAGAAAATCTGGAATCTGAGGGAGGAAAAAAATCTAAATATTGAGAAAATCATCTTTAAAGTTGTCCAAATGAAGTTCTTAGCAATGCATATTACTAGTTTTGATATATTTACGGTAGGAAATTTACAAAATATCTTCATGGAACATGATCTTAATATCCTAATGATTTTTGTCATAAAAGAGAAATGTATAATTGTGACCCATACAATGTATTGTTGGCTATTGCTACAAATATCCCCCAGCGACTCAACACTGCTTTTGTGCTCCAGGGACACACATCGTAAACAATCATGAGAACATGATTTAATGGTGTCAATGATGCAAAAGGCAACTGATCTTTTCCATATATAGTATATTTCAGATATATGAGTTTATGAAGTTATAGAGGAGCCTGAAGTGCTTCTCAGAGAAATGGAGCAGATCTGCAGATAAACCCGAGCAGAATGAGAGAACGAGGGCAATTGAAAGGTGTTTGAGGTTTCCTCTTCCTGTAGAGAGACTCAGAGACACAGAGACTGCGTGTGAGTTCAGTTAACACTCACTTCAGGACGTTAAACCTTCAGGAACCATGCTTCTCCTGAGCGTGATGTTTGTGCTGCTCGCCGCGGCTGTGATGAATCCAGCTCAGGGTCAAGGTGAGAGCCACTAAACACCACGTGCATTCATCATCTGAGCTGATGATAGAGCTTGATGTGTAGCGATTCTAACATGTTGTTTGGTCTTTTCATTTTGTTTTTGTCAAAGCCATAAGAGAGATCAAAGAAGACCGTGTCATTTTGGACTGCGATGAAGGTGAAGATGGTAAAGTGAAGTGGTGGAAGGAGAGCAACGAAGATAAAACCCAAAATAATTCGACCTTTGAAGCTAAAGCTGATCAGGGAACAGTTGAAGGATTCTTCACCTGTGAATATTCAAAGACAGATCCAGATACAAATACAAAGGAAGTCATAAAGCACAAGTTCTACCTCAAAATAAAAGGTGAGGATACTTCACTGTTTTTCACTCAGAATGTGCATAACAATAATACTAATACTAATAATGCTCACACTCGTTCTGTGTGTCAGTGTGTGAGAACTGCTATGAGTTGAGCGGTTTGGCTGCGTGGGGCATCATGCTCGGAGATGTGCTGATCACAGGAGGACTTATGCTCATCATCTACATCTGTGCTGCCAGAAAGAGCAACGGCACACAGAAGAAAGGTACAGAAAATATATGACATGATCTCAGACACAAACCTGCAGAAATCAATCAACCTACAGGCCATTTACACAAAACTGATCAGCTTAAGTTCAACACCTATTTAACACAGAACTTGATACACTGAGGAAAACCATACACTGACATATATTACAAATCTATACATATTACCATAATATAATACCACACTGACTATATATTACATATATATATATTACAAATCAACATCTATACAGTGTTAATTTCATTTATACAAAAGCGGAAAATGTTGCACTGTAATGAAACACATGGAGCGTGACGCGTTTATACTTTACATTGTTTTGATGTAAATGCTGCATGAATCATCGTAAACAATCATGAGAACATGATTTAATGGTGTCAACGATGCAAAAGGCAACTGATCTTTTCCATATATAGTATATTTCAGATATATGAGTTTATGAAGTTATAGAGGAGCCTGAAGTGCTTCTCAGAGAAATGGAGCAGATCTGCAGATAAACCCGAGCAGAATGAGAGAACGAGGGCAATTGAAAGGTGTTTGAGGTTTCCTCTTCCTGTAGAGAGACTCAGAGACACAGAGACTGCGTGTGAGTTCAGTTAACACTCACTTCAGGACGTTAAACCTTCAGGAACCATGCTTCTCCTGAGCGTGATGTTTGTGCTGCTCGCCGCGGCTGTGATGAATCCAGCTCAGGGTCAAGGTGAGAGCCACTAAACACCACGTGCATTCATCATCTGAGCTGATGATAGAGCTTGATGTGTAGCGATTCTAACATGTTGTTTGGTCTTTTCATTTTGTTTTTGTCAAAGCCATAAGAGAGATCAAAGAAGACCGTGTCATTTTGGACTGCGATGAAGGTGAAGATGGTAAAGTGAAGTGGTGGAAGGAGAGCAACGAAGATAAAACCCAAAATAATTCGACCTTTGAAGCTAAAGCTGATCAGGGAACAGTTGAAGGATTCTTCACCTGTGAATATTCAAAGACAGATCCAGATACAAATACAAAGGAAGTCATAAAGCACAAGTTCTACCTCAAAATAAAAGGTGAGGATACTTCACTGTTTTTCACTCAGAATGTGCATAACAATAATACTAATACTAATAATGCTCACACTCGTTCTGTGTGTCAGTGTGTGAGAACTGCTATGAGTTGAGCGGTTTGGCTGCGTGGGGCATCATGCTCGGAGATGTGCTGATCACAGGAGGACTTATGCTCATCATCTACATCTGTGCTGCCAGAAAGAGCAACGGCACACAGAAGAAAGGTACAGAAAATATATGACATGATCTCAGACACAAACCTGCAGAAATCAATCAACCTACAGGCCATTTACACAAAACATCAGCTTAAGTTCAACACCTATTTAACACAGAACTTGATACACTGAGGAATACCATACACTGACATATATTACAAATCTATACATATTACCATAATATAATACCACACTGACTATATATTACATATATATATATTACAAATCAACATCTATACAGTGTTAATTTCATTTATACAAAAGCGGAAAATGTTGCACTGTAATGAAACACATGGAGCGTGACGCGTTTATACTTTACATTGTTTTGATGTAAATGCTGCATGAATTAGTTTCAGAGCAGAAGAGTTTAGAAATTGACCTCAGTATAGAGAAATGTGTTCTCGTGAGTGTAAAAACAAAACTGATTGTATATATTTATTTTGTTTTAATTCACAGCGTCAAATCCCCGACCAATAAACCCTCCTCGACCTCCAAACCCTGACTACGCGGTACGTGTGACAAAACAAATCAAAGCAGAACTTCTCATGTTACACTGAATGCTTTATTAATCAGTCTTCTGTTGTTAATCA